GTCAGCGCACGGAAAGCTTGCCTCCAATATATTAGATAAACTAAATCTCTTCAGATGCTTGAATGTTGCGGAGATCATAGTTATCGACCTTCAATGCCTGGGCAATCCTGCATGAGTCATTTTTTGAGTAGGAGCGGTCCTATTCTTTTGCAATGCTTAAGGAACAATGCCTTCGTTTGCACAAGTAGAAAATATATGAAAGACGTGTCGGGCTTTGTGCTTCAGCCCACCCCACCCACCTCACTTGGCCCAGTTGCTGAAGAAGTTTTGATGTCCCTCAGACAACTCCGTGGTTCGTCTTCGGTGAACCGCACCATTTCTGCACCCGGCACGTCTGGAGGGACAAGTTCCTGATGAGTTGATACGGGCTCATGACAAAAAAACGTTCATAGCATTTGCATTCATGGCTGAAGTAGGATTCACTGCATGAAAATTGCAAACTTGTTTAATCGTCATGCATGCTTCGCGGGGTTAGAAATTGTCAGGTAAAAGTGAGGTGGAAAATTCTCTTTGAAACGACGAATTTCTTTTGGAACTCCATTTTGAATTCTTTAATTCCGCTGAAGCTCCATGCCGGTATGCCATCTGCCACGAGTCACGTGACCAGACCTGAATAGAACCCAGCATTTGTGCTATGCATCCTTTACAGTGGGCTGTTGTGATCGAAGGTGCAAAACAGGTAGGAAGAGATACTGTCTATATGACGGTTTAAGTCACAGTCAAGTAGGACACTCCAGTTTGTGATCCTTAGCATTTATTTCAGCTGCCTGTTGCTTTTTTGCCTGGGCCCATCATCTGACCTCACAACAGGCGACTAGCTTGTCTAACAAGCTTCCGCAGACCCGCACTTGGATCCAATACGCGGAAATAGTCGAACCAGGCAGTGGTTAAATGGTCAGAGAGGCATGAAACTCATTTCACCAATTAAGGCAGCTCAATAAGACACAGTCCAGTTTTACACCCAGATGAGTTGGAAAGGTGGCTAAATCAGAAAGATCAAGATTGATGAACAGGGACAAGTAATGGTGGTTGGCATCTCTCATAATCATAATCAGCTTCTCACTTATCATTGAACCAAGCGTGGGAGACGGACGTGTTTTCAAAGAACTTTGCCATGGAAACCAAAGCGTTTGTCAGACGAGATGTAAATGCTGCCAAGAATGGCACTAGCGAAAATGGGAAGCCACTCTGGTTCGAGTTCAATGAAGGGACACCTTCGATTCTCTTCAACGAAGGTAAGCCCATCTGTAACACAATTATTGCTCCAAAACTCATCCTCTCACGACGAATTGGTGTCCATTCCATAGCAGGAGAAAGTTTTTGTCGCAAAGATTTTATCCACAGTTTTAACACGTAACCACGATTTCTAAACTAGCACAGGACATGCATTGCGGAACATGCTTAAGTTCTATGTATCTTCTACGTTAATCTGTTTTGGACAGGATCGATTCACGATTCAATTCGCAGTGATGCCAGTTGAAAGTGGAATCCCCGAAAATGATGTTCGTTTTGTAGCAGTTTGCAAACCACCCGAAATTTCGCGTTTTGTGTTGTGGTGTCGCAAAGATTCAACAGCGGTAGTCACTGAGTCGTGAGTCACTTGCAAGAGCCTGGTTTGAGGATTTATCTGGTATGCTAAAGGTGATTCGACAAACGTGCTGAAGAAATATAGGGATCCAGGGCGCCAGGCGCTGCCACTAAATGCGCTCAAGCTGTTGAGCCGAGGGTCATGGCTAAAGCCGACCGCTCACGATGTTAACGTATGATTTTAAGTTCTCATATCTTCTGGTATGAGCGTCTTAACTTTGAATTAAGGAAATATTCCATTCATCACACACTTGGGCTCAGAATAGAAATGTCATTTTTGAAGTTTTAAAAATGACTCGTGTCGTTGAATTAGTGATGGGAATCGATGAGTACGTACACTACCGGAAGACTGATGTTCAAGTCTAGTTTATTTCTGACGTTACGACCAAACGAATTGATCAATAATGCCTGCTCTCAAGATGGTAAACATTTAAAGACTTAAACGCCGATCTTTCAGTCGTATCGTGATGTATTGCATGATGTATAATCATTCAATGTATATCGCGCGATACCAGTCTCGTTGAACCACCTACAGGCTGTATCTATCCACTGCTGGATGAAGACATCTGCAAAACTTTGCCACGAACTCTGTCTCCCGTTGTTCCAATTCACGGTGACCCAACAAATTCTTCTTGTGCTAGTTCCGTCACCAGTTTGGAGGTGCTACAACTGGCCATTTACTCTCTCTCTTGGAACACAGTCTAATAACACAACGTTCTTCTTTCAACGTGTCCTGACCATTATCATTTCGACTTCTTCGCTGTTGCAAAGCCATCGCAGACTGCTGTTTCTGCTCTTATCCGTTCGTTCATCTTCTTATTTCTTTTTGCCATTTCATGTGTATATTTTTCCATGCTGCGTGGCGTTGTTTGCAGCCTATGAATAGCCTTCAGGCTTAGGGTCTACGCTTCGCATCCATAGGTTAGCACTGAGACGGTACAGTGGTCGAAAACTTTCCGATTCAAACGCAAAGGCAGTTTCCCTGAGTATGACCTTTTCAATCTCCCAGTGTTAAAGACAGTTTTCACTCTTTCGTTGATTTTATACAGTCCGTTCTCCGTTGCAGAGATGATCTGTCCAAGATAGACTTAGTTCTGCACCTCTTCAGGACTAGATCAATCGGTTTTAAAAGTTTTTGAGGTCACACATTTGTTAAGCATGACCTGAGTTCTTCTTCAGGTTCGTTTTCAGTCCTACATTCATGCTGGCATCGTTCAACTTTTGGATTCTTGTTTGCAGTACTTCTAGTGAATCAGAGAAGATCAGAATGTCGTCGGCAAACTACAGAAATTTAATCGTCCATGTATCATCGAACCCTGATTTTCCCAAGGGGGCGATACATAATCTTCTTCCAGGGCTGCTCTTCTTCATTCTGTGACGTTGCATCATCCTGCCAGACGTTTTTTAATTCTGAATTTATTCGTCCTTTCATGAAGCTCTGTACTAGCCGTCGTGGAATAAGACGTTTCGGCACAGCCATTTTCGT